GGACTTGTGTCGCTGAAGTTTCGTCGTAACGAAGTTACGGAAAGTTAATTAACAAACGGAGACGTAACAATATTAATTAAATTATAGATATATCAATTCATGGGAATATGACTGAAAAATTTCATTTTTTCTGAAAAGGTTGTGTCTATTTACTTGTGACCACGCCGTGTACATGTTTCATTAAAATTGTTGTAGACCTAGGCTATGTTATTCTTTTTAGGAAGCTGAATATTTAATGTCGTTTGCATTACACACATGCGTATTGTAGGCGCAAGAATAGTACCTGGGATTTGACAGCACAGCGGGTTGCCTATCAAAGTCTTGGGTTCTGTATATTATGTTTATCTTCCGTATAAACTCAATGGTTTTCGATAACCGTGGTGGGTACAACACAAATAGTCCAATGCGTACATGGGGCGCCCGCAAAGTTTCCCAGTTGGGGCAAACTAGTTTGAATTAGTGAAGTGAATAAAAAAATGCATATACATATGCTGAATGAATAAAGCAAGAATTATGTTTCTCATTTTCCTGGGGGGATAAGTTTAACAACACACAAAGAAACTCAAATTTCGTTATTTTGTCTACATTCCTTGAATAATTATTAATATCTGTAATGCACGATCCGTGATAATACAACAAATAAGACCTGTATAACGTTATACATCTTTTATGATTGGCTGTTCGGGTATTTTGAATTAACAAATAATTTTTACACTCGGGAGGTTAGCCCTGACAGCAACACCAAAGAGCGAGCATATTTAGTGACGGGGATTCGAACCCGCGACCCGCAAGTTGCGAGTCGAGCGCCTTAACCACCAACCTATGCCAGGGCCTTGATTTATACAACTCTAGTGCTCACTAAACAGAACAATAGTTGTGTATGTCGTCGGGATAGCTAACACTCGTCGAATTAAAATGATTCTACACAAACATTAATTTGTAAAAAAAACAATTTTTGCGAACAATTAGAAGGATTAGAATTAGAGAAATGTCATCTTTAGTATCTTTAGTATTTTATTGAAGATTTCTAATACATAATGTCCCCCGGTGGCTAAGTAATTCGGAGAGTTTATGAGGTTAAAAGTCAGGTTTTGACACCGCAATGAGTAGAGCATAGATAGCCCATTCAAGCCGTCTCCAAATATTATTAGTCTCAAAGTGGGTTCCTCGTCATCGAAATAGATAGCCCATTGTTTAGTTTTGTACCTGTAGCCCCCCAGTGGCACAGCGTTATGTCTGCGGACTTACAACACTAGAAACCGGGTTTAGATACCCGTGGTGGGCAGAGCACAGATAGCCCATTGAGTAGCTTTGTGCTTAATTATAAACAATAAACAATGTACCCCGTATCTTTACGGGCAAAACAATATTTGTGAAACTGTAATCGTCTTTGTTTTCCTCAATTCTGTATAGTATAGTATTTGAAAACAGAAACAATGTGGATATTTTATTGAATAAAAATGTACGTTAGGTAATTTATTTCAAAACAGAAACAACATCTTTAACCAAAAATGAGAAACAATTAAGTATATCTTTCTTTTTCCACAGGAACAACGAGTGAGTAAACCGTAGAAGCATTGTCTATGTCTAATTTCAACTAAAAATTTACAAAAAGACACACTACTGAATGTCCCACCTTAATATATTTGTGGATTTATTTACATATACTGGTAATGTCATGTGTCTGATGTTTGCTTTAATCCAGTAAATACAGAGATTTAATCATATAATGTTGGCCTGCAAGACAATGGGTATGAGCAAGAATCTCTACGACTTTCAAGGGGGAATAATAGTAGACGTTTGTTTTAGACCAAAGCCACATTAGGCTATCTGCTGTGTCTACCAAAGATAACTGAATTTCGGATTTTAACGTTGTAAGTCCGTAAACTTACCGCTTTCCTCCCAGAGGACAATAGTAGGCACTCGTCTAATAGGCGCGTCTTTATCAAAAATCGTTTCTTTGACCACATATTTAACGACATTTGTCACCGGAGCGTATCAACAGTAGAAACCAAATGTTTAAACGTTTGCCACTGGGAAAAGTTTACCAGCCAATCAGTGTTGGTTAACCAATGGAAAAGATGATTAGGCAGATCAGTAATAACTAGCAACAGGCGAGAGATTGTGCCCCTGCTGAGTGACTCCTTCAACAGCGGTTAGAAATGGATTATTTCCAATTGTAACATGTGAGGTTTATTTATCAAATACTGTCATGTGACAGCTGATAATACCATTTAGTTCAAATAAAAGTAGAAAAACACATCTTCATGGCGTTTAGGGTCCAAGCTTTGGATAAAAAAATCACTGTAAACGTGTGGTGTTATGTGATGAATTCCATCTTGTCTTTTTTGCACTCATTTATACAAGTGATACACTTTTGATAATTCATTTCCTTTTTAATATATATATGCAAGATGGGCAAGATAATTTTTTTAAAACTAAAATAAAGCTAGGCAGAAAGAATTATTTTTGAAAAGTACTATTTTGACTTTTGTGTTTGTAATGAGCTAATATTGGCAATCGCATAATAGAATAACATGATAGATGAAAACGATAAATAGATAATCTATAAAATTAAACTGTATAAAAATAATAACAATGATACAGTAAATAGAAGACAAAATAAGCAGCAAGTTTAGAAATTAATTATAAAGTTATTGTTAACATAAACATTCTACTTACACGGTCTGAAACAAGTTTTACTTCATTAAAACATGTGCACATAAAAATCAAATACAAATTTTATCTGGGTTTGTTAGGTAAGTGGAACACACTTTTATTTTTTGAAAAATACGTGTTCGCTGTTTATTTTCATATAATAACCAGTAAGTAAAAATGATTTGATTTAAGTGAGCTATGAAAATTGTTTTAGCAGGCACAAATTAGGCTTAGCTCACGTTAAGCCTACATTGTACTTAAAGAAATGTGGGACTTTTTGCTATATGAATTGTTCCTAGTTATTTCATTGAAGCATAAAATCAGTCATACTACACATTTAAAATGAGTACGTGGTTTAGATAACTTTTGTAACATATCATAATTTGACTATATTGGCACTTTGATAATCGCACTTTTTACAACTCAAAAATCATTTATTACCACAGTACTATGAATTTTAAAAGTCTTTGTTACTTACTCGAATAGCACTCTTCAATGTTTCTGCTTCTTGCCGTAGGTTATCTAACTCATTCATTCTTTAGTATAAATTAAGGACTGTAATGATCTGGAAGAACAAAAAATAATAATCCATGACCTTTGATCAAGATTCTCAAATACATACACACAAAAAAAACGAAGTTTAAAAAACAAGACAGCAATTTTACGTAGTTTATTTTTCTCTAAACGAACAACAACACAAAAAGCACCTTAACAAGTTTATATGCTTTACCGTACTTGTTATCTCCTCTATTAAATAACTATATATTTATCCTGGCCTGATGCTGCATATAGAGTATAACATTATAAGTGAAATTAGAGTAGATGTTTAAATACGGTTTTGTAGTATACAAAGTTATCTTGAGTGATTTATGACACACTTTTAACTTAATTTCTTGTAATTAACTACGTTTAGGTGGATACAGTAATGTAAGGCTAAGAAATGACAATATATATTAGAAATAAACAAAACAACTATAAATGCGCTGTAAGGTACGTTTTGAAAACGTCAATGCTATCCTTGGTAAATGTTTGATAAAAGCAAAGTCGGTAGAGAGAAAATTTGGTACAAAATATAAACTGATTAACTATCGTATTGCAGTGCATTGGCATAATAAAGTGAGTAGTCTTGCCATAGGGTTTACATTCATGATATCACTCTGCAATACAAAACAAGACCAAAACTGAGCAGAAACAGATCCATCAGTATCTGGTAGCTTCACCTTTTTTATATTAGAAAGGGTTCATGTTCAGTAGAGTTATGTATACCTGCAAATTATGTCCCTAATTTTGAACTGATAGACTAGACGGGAGACAGCTAACCAACAGCACTCACCGCCAACTCTTGGAATACTGTAATCGAATAGTGGAATTTGACCGTCACCTTTTTAACGTATCCATGGTCCCAAAATGTGGAATGAAATCTTGCGATAAGAGGACACAGTCCATGAACCTCCCGGTCCATAGTCCAGTATGCTAACAGGTAGTAATGCTCGACATCTTGGTCAAAGGAAAAGACGATTGGATAGACTTCTAAGTGCAACAGGCGTCAGATCATGTCTGAATTGGCCAGTTATATAACAGTGGTCAATACTATAGCCATTTCTAAAATGCAAAGGATATTACACAAACTGTTTTATGACACCGACAACTAGTCCTACAATCTCTTCGTTCAGATGCAAAGAGGAAAGCACAATTCGAAGATGCTCAGGTATTATTTGTGGATAGATAATGAATGGAAGAATGTGATCCGTCTGATGAATCCATATCACCCCTTTATGTGTGTAGACAATAGTGCAGAAGCCGAAACAACCACAAAAGGTACTTGACCGCCTTGTGTCATTCTGTCAGTCTAAGGCTGTGTATCAATGTGAGGAACGACGAAGGTGGTGTTTTAAAATTCCTTCAAAAGGCAAATAAAATCCATAATGTACATAAACCTTTTTACTGATTATGTCTACTTCACAATTTCCATTCCAATGCTGATAAAAAAGGGCCTTCCTAAGATTATAATCCAACATGTCCTATTATCTAAAATTGATTCGAAGAGCAAGACTGTGACTTAGGTCACCTCCCTCCTTCAGCATAATCTGATCTCAAACCGATCAGTCACTTTCAGGGATGAGCTTCAGAATCACATTCGTCACAGTAATCCCCTGCTTACATCCGTAAACCAACTGCAGTCCAAAATCCTCGAAGAATGGCAAAAAATCAAGCAAGAGACATTTTGGATCATATGGAGTCTGTGCCATAATACGAAAAAAAAACCTAAATTAATTAATAGAAAAAAAGAAGATTAATAAACTCGCAAGTGCAACTGACATATCACGAAATATTTGCCCATATACTATCATACAACTCTTGTTGTACAAATATACTTTATAGACACATAAGATTGAATAATATGGTCACAAAAGAAACGTCTTGCTCCAGGTAAGTTAGAAGTGTGGGGAGTTTTTAATGACAAACACACAACAGTCTAATTAGAAAAAAGCTTTTCATCTATTCCATTAGATGATTTTGCGTAAGTTGGATGTCGAAGCGATGTTCAAGGCATTCATATATCATATCATTTTTTAGGAAGTTATTAATGACAAAATCTTTCACTATAGCAACGCCATTATGATTGGGAAAATTACGCTTCAGGTAAGGAGAGTCATTGAAGATTTCTATAACGACGATCTAACTGTATGTGCTCTCTATAATGGTCATCTAGCTTGAATTTAGTGATTGCTACATAAACTTGACCACACCTATAGTGCACCTGTATCTTCCTCTTATTCCATTTATTTGACCTGAGGAAATAGTGTAATAGTATAATGCAAAGAACAGTTAAAGAAGAATAGGAATTTATAACATTTTATGGATAGTAAGGCAAAATAAGTTATAAAATTATGTTAATCACCACCAACACCAGCACCATCCTCCAGTTCATTATTATGTCTGGCATATAATGATCTGTTTTGTGACCTAAACTTTGAAAAAATGGTCAATCAGTCTATGGTTGTAAATGAGCAGAAGTGACTATACAACTTGACATGTCATGACATTTGGTTTTAATATGGTTTAACCACAAACAATAACGACAGCCTGACACCAATGTTGCATTTTCAAATTCACAGTTTTGATAATGTCCTGAGATATCCTTTGAAAAAGGTGTTTTCAGAGCGATTTTAGTGTATGGAATCACTTAAACAGAATGTAATACAACTTTCACCATCATCCAATACCTGTTTGATATAAGTGATGTGTCGTTAGTATGCAGTACACTCCATGTATTCAATCCTCGTGGTTAGGGCGCTCGACTCGCGATCTGTTGGGTGCGGGATCAAAACACTTTACCGAATATGATAGCTTTTTCAACAATGGAGGTGTTATAATTCAACAGTCAATCCCACTATCTGTTGGTAAACAGCGGCCCAAGAGTTAGCGGTGGGTGGTTTTAACTAACTGTTTTTCCTTCTAATCTATCACTATAAAATTAGGGACAGCTAGTGCAAATAGTCCTTGAGTAGCTTGCGCGAAATTCAACAAAACAAACAAACAATTGGGAAAACATTTTTTCTACTATCTGTTTACATGTGGTATGTAGATGCCACATATATCCCTTGATTATAGCATATATTTAATATAACAGTATTTTAGGTTTTCTCTTAGAATTATATCCCAGCACCTGGAAAATTCAGTTAAAGTCAAATGTGAAATTAGCCCTCGGTGTTATTCTTTATAGCATGAAACGATCAAGGTTGTTACCTGCTGTTTCACAGGATGTTTGTGTTGAATCCTGGATGTAAAGTTACAGTCACACGTAGAAGAGATGTATCTGCATACTTGTGACCCAGTTTTTGATTGGCCAGCTATAGAGATACTGTGAATTGTTAGTATTAACGTTTCAGTTGGTAACTGTGTGTATTTTGAATTTTAATTCAGTATTAGAAATACTCTCAGAATCGTTTTAATGTATAATTCTATTTTCATTCATTAAATGACAATATTTTTTGTAATTCCAACCAGTCGAGTTTGTTTATTTCTAACTACTATGATTCTTATTTTATCACACGATTGGTCATTCTTTCAATTGCCACCCTTTTAATAAAGTTGTCTTAGCGTGTTTTCACGCGGAGACTCGCCTCTATTATTTAACGGGTGATAAATCACTATGCGTATCCTTCGGAATACTAGGTCACTGAACTTAATTGTTGCGAAGGGCGGGTGGCTGTGAGTTTATTTCACGTCTTGGAATACCACATATAAATATTACTGACCACATTTCTACACTATAAAATAACAGGGCGGGTGGCTGTGAGTTTATTTCACGTCTTGGAATACCACATATAAATATTACTGACCACATTTCTACACTATAAAACAACAGTATGAAGTGTTGTAATTATATAAAAATAATATCCTTCCAAAGTCTTATTAGCACATATTATATATATATATTCACTGGTGTTTCTATATTACCTTTTCCACTAACGATGTTATTGTTCCGTTCTTGGGAATGAGATGTAAAGTATATGATGTGATGGACGTTATTTTTGGACAAACTTTTTATATGAAGCTCCGTTGTCGTTGTATTGTTTAATGTTAGACTATTTTACTGGTTTAACTAAACGCCCATTATACTCATGTTACCCATTTAAAATAGATCATCATAAATAGAACTAGAGCAATAGTTCTACAGAGAGAAAGGAAATGTAACACCAGGAATGGAATTACTAGTCTGAACAATCACACGACAGAAACAAATGTCCACCGAACTAGCGACCAATTATTCTAAGATATCTATATAAAAAAGAAGCAAAGGATCCACGCAGTAATTAACATCCACACCAATCATTACAGAACAGGAAAGTAATATAAACTGAATTTAGGAAACAAGGCAGGAACATTCCTTTCAGCCCACACACAAAACCACTAACAGTATATTAGTGAAGAAACATTTTATTATTATTAATTGTATATGTTGCCGACAATTTGGGATCCGAGGTGCGTTATAAATATGACGATTATACCTCACATTATTCGATCAGGCCAAAGTAGCATAGGAATTTATGGTGTTTGCTGTTAATTAGCTGCCTTCCCTATCAGTTCAAAATTAATGACGGCTATGCTCAGAAAGCCCTTTGTGTAGCTTTGCTTTAAAATTAGGAAACAAACAAAATGCGGAACGTGTTCAACAGAAAGACCTCACGAACCTTAGACCATTCAATCCGAAACCAAACAACCACTAAGTCACACATGGCTCTTTTTAATTATTTAGGGTAGAACTTTAAATCATCTCGGAACTTATTCATCGAGTTCACATGCAAGAACAAGTCAACTTTCATTCTAAAACAACCCTAAGCCTCATGACTATCAACTATGTATTAAAATCCTCTAGTATTTTATAAAATTATGGGCAGAATTAATAACACAGACTGACATGCATGAATATTATATATGTACCACGTGATATTATACATGACTACATACTTGTAAATATGATTACACAGAGCTTACCGATCTCACCGCAACGTCAAATACTATTAGCAAGTTTCCTCAGCACTGCTTCTCATTCACCAAGTACTTCTGTACGAAAATGTTACTTATCCTTCACTGCGTGCAACATCACAATACAGTCTCAATATTTAAACAATTCAAAGAGTCGGGTATTAAATCAACAATACAATGATCGATAACTTGTAAGAAAAACGTACGATTTTTTAACTTTTAGGTGAAAAAACCTTTGTATCACTCGGGAAATATAAGAATATAATAATGTTTCTTTACCTCAACCACCTGACTATTAAACTTCGTACACTACTGTAAGTCCTGCGGCAAACACGGCTACTAAAGCCCTCGGGAAAGAGAAACAAGCCCACAGGGTCATAATAAAATACAAAGAGCCAAAGAGTAAAATTAGACCGGTTCTCTGACGCACAAACTCTGTGACGCCATTCACTGGTTGCAATGGTATCACCATAATCAATACGAGGCTGTTGCCACCCGGCGTAACGAGTCGAACACCTAACATACGACGGTAAAGCGGCGCATGATCAAACTTAATAAATATTGTGTTAACAAACAAAACGCCCATCAGTTAAGATAACAAGAATAAACAATTAACAATATAATATTTTTTTTTCTTTGTACATAGCAAACCACCACTCAACAAAAAATAGTTTTATAGATGTGTATTATACTGTACAACGGTTAGAGGTAAATATCGAGTTACAAAATGTCGGAATATTACAGTAACTAAAGGACTGTTAACATAGCACAATTACGTTAAAAAATTTACAAGATTTGTTTCTTATTATCTTTACACTATTTCCGTCATTAATATCATTTTAAAACATCATAATGAGTTTATTTTAGGACATAATTTGTCGTAGTGCCGAATGTGTTCATTTATTTATTGGATTAAGCACAGAATACACAACTTACGAATACAATGAATATTTTATTACACCAACAAAACAACGATATGAACCTCGCTTATTGACACGTAATAGTAATAGGAGCTGCATAGCCAAATGATCGCTTCTGGTAGTTCTAACAAACTTTAATCCCATCCTCTCCGTCAGTTGTTTTTTATATTTCTCCCACATACTGTCTAGACTTAAGAAGTGACATAAATATGAGTTGGATGGTGATGGAGAGATTATGGACTACAATGTTATACTTACACTAAGTTGGGAGGATAACACTAACTGGACATAGTCACTCTGTGATGCATTACTCAACAATTATAACACATTTCTCTACAGGTTGAATGTTGAACCGCGATAATAAATACTCTTACATAAGCATCTGCCGGTGGGTCAGAGGTCAGTTTATTGTGCGTCATTGCGAGAAAAGAAAGAAAGAGATCTGAAAAACGACATGGGCTGAACAACTAGAACCCGTTTAAAAGGTTTAATGCAAATACATTTCTTTGAAGTCTCAAGGAATTAACTTTATTTTGATTTATTTTAAGTTTTGGAGGGGGAAAAAATCAATATAATCTTCAATGTAAGAACAGACAGAAAACTGTCAAAAGTCGCCAGCATTATTAAATGTCTATGACTCTTATATGATCTAGTATATTTTACAGTATTACTTTTTATGTAGTACCAATACCATCGCAGGCATACACTGTTGTAATCATCTGTTTGTTTGAAATAATTCTTGAAAATACGGATTCATTCGTCTATTATTTCCTTGATGACGTCAGGTGCATTGTTATAACAATAATCTATATGTAACTACTTTCCAGCCATCCTGGTACATTAGTGGACAAAGTATTTAATACGTCATCAATTGGAAGAAGCTCATTTCGACTGGATAAGATTGTTGTTGTTGTTTTTAAGCACAAAGCTGCACAAAGGGCTATCTGTACTCTCCCCCACCACGGGTATCAAAACCCGATTTCTAGCGGTATAAGTCCGCAGACATATCACTGTGCCACTGGGGGGCAACTGGATAAGAATGACACTGGCAGTGAAAATGCCATTAGCTCTGACAACTATAGTGTAGTTTTAAGCAGTGTTCGAGAAACAGGTCTTGCAAAATGTACCACATGACCTTGCCCTAGAGATAACTATAACAGAATAACGACAAACAGATATAAACGTTGTAATATTTCTTATTTAAATTCGACAACGTTAACCCACACATATAGATACAATATTAAATTATTGATACGAACAATCAAATTGTACGTATACTAAAGAAGAAGATGGTATAAGGACATATCAAAAAGTTTGTTTGTTTTTGAATTTCGCGCAAAGCTACACGAGGGCTATCTGCGCTAGCCGTCCCTAATTTAGCAGTGTAAGACTAGAGGGAAGGCAGCTAGTCATCACCACCCACCGCCAACTCTTGGGCTACTCTTTTACCAACGAATAGTGGGATTGATCGTCACATAATGTAACGCCCCCACGACTGAAAGGGCGAGCATGTTTGGTGGGACGGGGATTCGAACCCGCGACCCTAAGATTGCGAGTCGAGCGCCTATCAAAAAGTGATAATTTCAATTTCTTGGTGGTATGTAAGTAAAATAACAAAATATTGTTTTACCAATATGACATATATATAGATATATGTTTAAAATTAGCTCTTGAAATTCAAATATGTTTAAAATGAAGCGAATTACAACCTTGAATTTCTAAGTCATGTGGTAACCATTAATGAAAACTTGTTTGTAGAAGCCTTGTTTAGATTATGTGGTTAACTTGCACAATTTCCATGATTTCAACAGTCTTGTGATGCTAAACTCAAATGTTCGGGTTTCACCTCGAAACTCATATCACAGTCGTTTTATTACTATTATCTGTCTTCTTGAAATAGAACGATTGTACAACGATTCTGTTTGAGTAAGTAGGTTGACATAAAGGTCAAGCTGCTACTGGCGAAAATGGTAGACTACATGTTAGAAATTATAAGATATTAAATATTTGAATTTTGATATTCTTGACTCTAACCTTAAGTCAATATGAGTGCGTAACTATATTTCATCACACGATTTGAACACAATTTGATTTCTGTTTTAAAAATAAATAAGAATTTCCACAACATATGAATTGCATGTGTTTGACACATTGACATAAATCAATGACGGTGAAATATTGCAATCTTATTGTACATAATAATTTATAATATTGTGATGAAATTTCACAAAACCACAAATTTGCCAATTTAATAAATAGTCATTACAAACTTACAGGTAAACAGTCATGGCTTTCTTATAGGTTTTTTCCATGATAATCTCTATAATACAAATAGTTTAAAACTGCATTAAAAATGAAACAACTATGTAAAATATGTAGCTTGAAAACACTTCAAACTTGTATTGGAGGGTTTATTTTTTCACTTTTTGTATCAAATGTACTAAAATGTAGGAAGAAAATAAAATATTCTTCCGTTTTTCCATGCACTGTATGTGAAGAAAAGTTTACTTAAATGATTTTCCAACGATCATTTCTGTTCGGATACTGAATGAAGTGTTCTATACCTTTAGCAAGCTGGGTGGACGTTTCTACTTTTTCTCTATTCAAACCTTAAATCTGGATCGTTAATATCTCTTTCTGGTAAATCAATCTAAAATGACTTGAATGAGCAGACATTGGTAACTAATAACCCACTCAGCTACACTAGGTTAGGGTACTCACTGTTATTGTGGCTAATACTTTGAGGCAGGTAGTGATATACATCTCATGGTAATTTTACATCAAACTCTGATATTTTTATCGGGCTTGAAACGTAGAAGTGGTCTTGTTAATCGCGTGGATCAAATAGTAGTTGCTATCACTTACAAACTGATCTTTTGCTTAAAGTAAAGCAAATACTGTTCGATTTGTTTGTTTGTTTTAGAGCAAAGCCACGTTGGGCTATCTACTGTGTCCATCATGATGATTCGAACCCCAGATTTTAGTGCTGTAAATCTTCAAACTTACTGCTATCTCACCTGGGGCAATACAGTTCGATAAAGTATGTTAATTGGGGTAATCTTTGGAGAGAATTTCTGAGTAGTATGTGATTGACATAAAATCGGTTTGATATAAAAAACCGCTAATTGTTTCTGCAACTGCCTTTGCTGTGTCTGTCAAGGTCTTTATTTCGTCCTCCAAAACAGTGTTTTTTTTTGTTTTTTTTTCCCTGTGTCAACCTTGTTGGCAATAAATCTCTATGCTTTGGCAGCCCTTGAAACCGCTAGCTTCAAAGAAACACTGAATATCTACAGACTTCTAGACCAATTTATTATTGCTAATGTTAATCTTGGTGATATCCATGACACATTTTACAGTCTTTTACAAATATGTACTACACATTAAGACTTTAATGCGGGAACTCCTTTATTAAGTTGCTGTCCTAGAGTTTTTGTTAATGTAACGAGTCTCAATTAATATTCTAAAACATTATATTACAGTCTCGTTGTTTGCAATATATAATTACACCAATATTTAGAAGAATAACAAATACGCAGTACTGACTAAAATAGAGGGTACATTTCATTAAAAAAAACAATCTATGACTTCAAGTAGATTTTATTAGCTTAACGTTTCATCTTTAAGCCTTCATTAGAAGCTCCGCTTATGGTACTTACAGATAAACTATCTAACTACCGTATTTGCCCGAATATAATGCACACCCAGTTTTAAAAGGTTAAGTTGAAGAAAATATGTTTTTTTACACATCAGTTGTATAAAATGTATTGAAGAGTCTCTAAATACAGTAAACAACGATCGTGTATTAAACATTTTTGGAAATCTTTCATTGAAATGTTTTTATACGAGTCAATTTGACAAAATCTGCGGACAGTTTATACGTGGTAATACACTAAGTTAATCATTCATTTTCACATACATCTTCGTCATCGGTAGAATTGTTGCTACCATTGGATTCATCGTACTCATGGGACTTGCTTTCTTTAATCTTTGCTTTATTCTCTTCTGATTCTCACATCATGTCATCATCCGTCCCGTCCATTATATTGCATTGGATGTGCCACATTGTTTGAAACCTTTAATGGCGCTTTAATGATTTTCGGTGGTAGCTTCTAGTGAAATACCTAATAAAATTGAACATGTGCGAATATAATGATCTGTCAATATTTTCGGGAGGTATTTGGAAGAAAAAAGTTTCCATTATGTTCTGGCAAATGGCAAATACGGTAATTAAAAGAACCGTGTGAGACAGTCAGTTCGTGTGCGCTAGTTTAAATTGAAACCCAGTATTCTGTTTGGCTAATTGTACAGTAGTACATTTACATTTATATGAGTGCAAAAGTAAACGAATTTTAATGTACATTATTCTAAACGAGTGCAAAACTACGACGTTTACAACATTAACTTTAAAGACAATTACCTCAGTAACGTAAACAAATGGGCAAGGAAACACATTGAGTTAATTGTTTACCTTTCTGTGGCTTGTAAATAACGCACTACTATTACACCTCAATACAAATTCCAACTGGCGCCTAAAAATCGACAATG